GCTTTAAAAGCAACGGCAAAGTTTCCACTGAGCCGTCGCATTATACTTGGATTTAAACATAGCGCCTTTTGATGTAAATCGGTTCTTCTGGTGTTATCCAATCGGAAGCTTGAAGGTCACCACAGCTGATGACCTGTCGAAGGACACTATAACTAAATCGAAGTATAGTATTATATTTGTGTGATTTAGATTTATTTAGTCAAAAAAGTAGTAAAAACTGTATTGACGTATGGGTAGAAAATCATCTGCGCACGTTTTCTTGAGTTCCAGAATCCCATCCCATCATATTAACTATAAATAGTTGAAAGATGAGTAAAAGTTTAAAATAAATAAGTAAATAATTTTAAACAGCGCGTGATTAGCAATATTTGAAAAAAATATACATTTTTATTCCCGAGTTATAGAAAACTTATTTGCAACGGTAAATGAACTGCAGATTTTGTTTTCTGCATTGGTAACAAAATAGCGACTCACCCTTACCTCTACGCGTACCACTACAAGCAAAGGAAGAGTTCAACAAAACGTGCGCACAGTGACGCTACATTTACGACCACAAGCAAAATAAGTGGCCATCTCAGCATTTGCTCAATGTGTCAGGGAAATTGGGCAACCAACTGATTGAGTTGGGGTTATTGACCCGAAGCTGAAGTACATTATTTGTTACAAGCATATTAAGTCTTTTAAAAAAATTACATTACAGATGTAAACTAATTCATAGTATATCATTGTTTTGTTAAAACAAACATTATTTTTCTTTTTGATAATCAGTATAGTCTCTATTGTATACAAACAGTTATGCAGCAGAAAAGATTTTACTTTTAACTTGAAATTGTTCACCGACTTGAATTGTTCAATGTCATGCGTTGTAAAGTAACGTACGTGTGCCGTAGGTGAGTAAATGAATCTACATTGCTGTGCGCGCAGGGCGGGGCCGCTGGGGACGACGTGCCCGCTGTGCGGCCGCCTGCTGGCCGACCCGCGCGTGCTGCCGTGCCTGCACTCCTTTTGCGCCGCCTGCCGCGAGGCAGCTCGCCTCCCTCGACTCCCACGCGCCGCGCGCAGACGGTGAGTTCAGGTCGCCCCCGCCCCGCTCCCGCCCGCCCGCTCCGCCCCGCTCAACCCCGTTCCGTTCCGTCTCGCCCCGCGCCACTCCTCGTCACGTCCCCCCGTCTCGCCCCATCCCGCCCCGTCTCGCCTCGACCCGCCTCGTCTCGCTCGTCCCGCCTTCTCCACCGCGTCACGCCCCGCTCCGCCCCGTTCCGCCCCGCCCGCGCCCGCCCCGCCCCGTCCGCCCGTCCCGCTCCGTTCCGCCCCATCTGCCCTGCTCCGACCCACCCCACCCGTCCGTCCGCCCCGCCCCGCCACGCCCCGTCGCTCGCAGAGTCAATTCCCCGCCCCCATATTTATTTATGTACCAAGGGCGTTAATATGGTTTCTAACAACTAGTTAACACCCATGGTACATGCAATGTATTATTTTTTACCTAATTCTAATTATCGAGATATATTTGTTTACTAATTTACTAGATGTTACCTTGATACTACTTGACTTTTCATATCTCCCTCCGATAATTCTCTTTCATAATTCCCTTAATAAGATAACATGTAGCGTCATTCTGATATCAGTCATATCAGTAAAAAATAAAGACATTAATTTTTAATAAAATAGCCAAGCAAAATGGAATTTATTTTCCATAAAATAGCTGACTAAAAGACATTTATTATTCCCAAAAAGGACTTACAAAAAGGAATTTACTTTTATCAAAATAAACGACTAAAGAACATATATTGTTATCAAAATAGGCGAACAAATTTTCAAAACATTTGTCTCACTGATATCATTACATTCGAAAGCATTATTTCCATAAAGCACGCGGAGATGTGTTTTCATGATATTTAGATAATAATTTTTTTCAAGTTTGTGTTCTGAAAATAATTTAGAAATCGGATTAATTTTTTCCCCTAGCGTTTAAGATTCTTTAAATTACATATGTTACCTTTTGACATTTCATGTTTTTGAATAGCTTTTGATAATTTTTTTCATGTCAAAATATCTATCTGTATTCGAGTATTCTCCTTTGACAATAAAGTACATGGCCAACTTTAAAGTTTAGCTTTAACTTCACTACCTGTTAGTCATTTGTGTGAATTACACCAAGAATAGAATTTTCTTGCATTTTTCTCGCCAGCATGATGCACAACTACCGTACTCAGCATAGAAGTGGGCTGACCATTGTTCAAAATTTGTTTTTTCGTATATCTTTAAGACGAGAAAATGGTGTACACAGTAGTTCATTCATGGTATCAGTCATAATATTAACGTAAAAGTTACGTTGTAATATTATATAAAGCGTATAATGTTAACGTAACGATTTAGATATAAAAATTCAATTAACACTAATCATCCGCAACTTGCTAATTTAAAATTTAAAAAAAATTCTTAAATAACAATCGCTTTCTACGCTTCTTAACTCGTCAACAAAGCAGTAAACACACGCGCTAAGCGATTTGCGTGAGACTAGAAATCGGAGTCATCCGTAATCTTCTGTGCGGGCAGGTAGAAAGAGAATTCGCGGACCTACACGCTTGCGTCAAGTGTGGACACATCATGCTACTGTTCTACCCTCTCTAAATGGGTCTTTTCTCAGAATGCGGTGCGAAGGGAGGCGTGCTTACTCTGAGAGGTGCAAACGAGCGCATGTCTCTAAGGGAAGAGACAAGACTGATCGCATGGCCAGAGGGCTGCTAGAAAACGCTTGAAATGGAACAATTGCTCGTGCCACAATAATGAAATGTTCATTATACTTTTTCAGATTAATAATATTTACACCATATTAATTACCTTACAATTGTAAGAGTCATTTTATGTTTTCATCTGTATGAAATACATGAAACCTAGTGCATGTTCGTCAGGGTAGGCAGTGCCTACCTTGCTCCCCCAAGGAGTGGCCACTGTAACAAACTATTTTTCTGCTTTTGCTTTTGCGAATGACCTGACACTAGTGTTGTATGTGCCCCGAAAGAACAAATGTGTTGCCCTTCAAAGTACACTTCACAATAATGCAAGAGGCTGCGAGTCTAAAAAAAAAGAAAGTAACCAGAAATAAAATCACGTACCAACCCTACCAAGGGAGCTGGGATATTAGGATGATCAGTTCTTATTTTTCGAAAAAACAAAAAATGTCTATTGTTTGTCTAACAAAATAAACTGCTCCTGCATTAATTCATGTTTTGTTCACAAAAGTAAATAGAGATTTCAAAGAAAAATGTTATCACAAAATAAAGCCAGCATTGATCGTATCACATCTGCCTCGAACATCGTAATCAAGAGTTGTAGTTAGGGAGTTAATGCCTATTTTACGTGGCGAGAATCGGGACATCAGGCCCGTTCTTCCGTTTGTCCACAGAAATTTCGCAACGCTTCCTTCACCTCTATTAGAGAGAGAAGGTATATTTCGGATGCCGAAATTGAAAACTTTCATAAAATTCGTCTTGAGATCGAGACTCGAGACAGGCGATTTTGTATTTAGCTCGGATGATATTTTGGTGTGAGATTATTTTCCATGCAGTAAACTACAACATGAGATAGCCGACTTCACTTCTCTTCCGTACGAAGGTGTACGAAGGATTGTTTTCGTCCTTAACAATCCACGGCTTCGATCGGGTTTAAATCCGGAAACTTGGGTACAACAGCCCGACACGCTGGCCGTTATATCACCGAACCCGCCAAGATAATTTATATTGAGAACTACAAATCTGATGCATAATTCGCATCAAAATTCAGTTTTGTAATTTCTTGTCGAAAAAGGGGAAGATGGCATTTATGGGGCAAAGCAGGCGACAAAATTACTCAGCACTGTTCCAAATAAAACCTTTGACATTTTAAAATCATGTCAATTACATTTGTAATGTAGGTGTCTAATATAATGTTTCTACATTTGCATTCATTACTTTACTACCACGCATTTTGTACAGGGACCACCATTTTACAATCTTAAAAATAAAATAACTGTATATAATTAAAATTTCAGAGTGTAATTTTAATTTCCTGTTAGGTATAATAAATATAATAATTGAAAAAGTAAATAATGTGCTAGAGTAATTATAAGGGCCCACTTGGACTCGAGGACCTTCAGTGAATTTGAGGACCGCATCCGGGTTTAAGTAGTATGTTCTGTAATGGATTATAAACCAGAGAATTAAAATTAATTTTTATAACTTTTAATTATTTCACCCCACACATGGACGAGTCAGATCTATTCGTGTTTGTAAACTCGATGTGAAATGAACAAATAACAATTTTGCATGGTGACCAAGTCTGCAATAGCTAATTTACTCGACGAAATCACAAAAATATCAAGCTTATGTTACACACAGTATAAATTTATATTTTTAGTGTAATATATAATATAAGCGGATAGAATTCTGCGGTACATTTTTGTTAATTTTTAGTGACTATTAGAGGAGACCTTTTGCAGTCAGAAATCGGCCCAAAATCTGCTGAAAGTATTTCAAATATGTGCATCAGTTCCGGTTACTAATTAATTTAGCACCATGAAAAATGTATTGATGAACTGATTGAATGGAGGTTGAGTCAATTTGGACCGAACACTGATTCAAAAAATAAGATGACAGAGTGATATAAGGCAGAAAATATATATATATATATATTATATAATTATATATATATATATATATATAGAAATATATATATATATATATATATATATGCATTGGCATTCGATCGGGACGTATTACTTTAATAATGAATGAATGAAGTGAGTAAATGGAATAAAACATCAGAACATGATTTCATCTATTTTATTTCCTTCTTTGCAATTTTCTATGAACTTATATTATTAACATATTACTTATACATGATCAAACATGAACATATATTTCATTTAAGTACTCTAATTACAAATGGAAACAGGATTAGAAAAAAACATTTGCTTAATCATATTTAAAACATCGATGTGTTTTGTCTATGATTTCATAGACATGGAAAATCTTTTAGAGATGTGTGCCAATGTCGCCGTTTTGATCAAATTTGCTGCACTGAGTCGCCGCGGGCGAGCGAAGCGAAACGGGGCAGGCGCGCGGCGCGTGTGTGGTTGGTTGGTCTGTGCTGGGGGAGGGGGCGGCGCTCTGGCCGCCCGGTGGCAGGGAGGCAGGCCGCTCGGTGAATCCGCTTACGGCTCTAGGGCTTCCGGAGCGCTGTCAGCACGACGCAGGCGGGGACTGAAGCCGGGCAGGGGGCACGGGGGCGGGGAAACGTTTAACAAGCGGTCATTGCAGTCTATAAAACCTGCGTTACTCTCGTTTACCTATTAACATTTCGAAACTATTTTTCCCTTTCATGTAGGTAATTAACACGGGAGTTCGGTTTTTCACAAAACTCAAGCTCTATTCGGAGTTCAATTCATGTCTCTCTTCCAAAATGCTTCGGTGATTACACTCTCCAATCTTCTTGCCTTACGTTAACGTCTTACTTCGGAGCCTAGTATACCTCTGCAACTTTACACCATGACTAATGTAAATGCTTAAACCATTGTACTTAAAACTATTATATTTAAAACACATTAGTGTTGTATTATTATTATATTGAGGAAGCGTTGCTGGGTGAGGCGTCAGGTCTCTAAACCCCCAGTGAGCCGGTTCCATCCCGGCCGAGGTGCCTGGGTAGGGCGGATAATAGTAGATAAAATGACAAATATTTAATTTTTTACTTGTCTCTCACGTCGTTAATGTTTACAATAGTGGCAATTTGTTCCATATTATATTTATCACTACATGTGCTTTAAATAATGTCATATTAACCTTCTCGAAAACTCAACCGTTTTCTGCCAAAATTTCGCAATTTTGGAAACGCTCAAACGCCATTTTCTCAATAACGGCTCCTACTTGTTTTCAAACATTTCGAACGGATAGTGCTAATTACACTGTTAAATATGACGCAAAGTTCATTTCGACGTTTTTATTGATTTTCAAAAATTACACAAATGTACATTTATTTAAAAAATCTCTTACGCAATTGATATGCACATTTCATGCAATTTGTAAGCATTATTTGATTTGTGAGTTACAGTACTGAAAATGACTTCAAATGAAGTTTTTCGAAAATTCAAAATTGTCTGTGAAAAAGAGCTTCTAATTTTGAATTTATAGTAGCTATTAAACGCCAGTTTCTTAAAAACGGCTCCAAATTTTTTAAAGAAAATTGCCATTTAGAACGAGTTTTCACTCGTCTTTTTATACTTAAAATAATATTTCCGTTCTACTATTAGGCAACCGATAAATTAAGAACATTTCAAAAAATGTAGTTTGGGTGGCGATAGATGGCATCTGGGAAGGGTATGTGACAAGTTCGAGTGGCTAGCCGAGACCAAAGGGACAAGAGAACTAATACGAGAAAGTCTGTGCCATTCTACACCAGTAGTTTTCTTCTGTAAACCCATATACTCCGAACCATGGAGGAAGGGGAATACTGCTTTTACCTTGTAGTACTTTATTGGTTTCTCTTTGTATGTTGTCTCTTTTTCGTCTTGTTTTAGAACCGATACATGCTGAATTCTTGCCTAAATTGATACTAGACTGTTTCTTCAAGGTTTTCTATTCGACCGAGGAACCCTCTAACCCAAGTCATAGTTGATGCTTACATTAGTCTGTGGATATCTGGCAAACGCTTAGATGACACATGACTATCATTTATTCGTGCTTGAGCCATCGGGCCCAGGAATGTTTCTTAAGTAATTAAGAACCCGAGAGGTTACACATGAAATATAAGAAAAACGTCAAATTTACTGAGTGAATGAATTCAAGGTTGCAATAATTCAGTGGAGGCGGCAGTGAATTGATGAATATACAAGGTTTCATTGTTTTAGTGCGGTAGTGACCGTTAGAATAAATAAATACTCAATATTTTCATGAGAGAGCATTTTAGGTACAACACGCTTTTTAGTATGTCGTCCTGATATTAAGAATTGAGTCTGCAGGGGACTATCATTTACGTGGCTCATTGCGGCCCGAGGCATTTTTTCCCTTTAAAGATACGATAAAAATTTTAATTCGAACGTTTGAGTTTCCATAAATCTTGGAACGTACGAGTGGCGTCTCCTGAAATATCGGGTAGGAAATGTGATAAAAAGTAGCAAATAGTTTGTAAATAAACCACTGGTTGCATTCTCTACTTACTGCGATCTGGTGCTCAAACAATAGCAGATATTAGGAATGTATTATATTATTAACGACTATATAACAGGAACTCAAAATGTTACTGTATTTGGGCATAGCAAAAGATAAAAAATGAAAGAAAACAAACAAATGTTGATACACATATGGCTCTGAGGGCCTCAATGTAGCCCGCTCGTTGTTTACCAATAAAAATTCACAGCGATGTTAAGTAGTATCACTTTAGCCCCATCAATTTGTCGTATTGGCCCATGAGGTGGGGCAACACAAATTTGATCTTTAAAAAAAATTGGTATGTCGTAAGTTGTCTTTTACTTCGTACACAGTCTTTTGCATCAAAAGACACATATTCAGTTTTTCGTGTGTTTGCTGAAAACAGTATAGAAGTGAAGGTGAAAAGTTTGCTTGTATAAATAATAAAAACCTGGATTGACACTAATTATTGAAAATACGAAATTGACAACATTGTCTAGAAGCTTGAAGAAAAAGTTTTACTAATGAGCTGTTTAACTGCTAAATAAGCAACTTCCCCTGGCGGAGAAAATTTGAACTGCTTTCGCCAAGTGTATATTCTACCTCCCCTTGAGGCCAATGAATGAAATTATTGGAACCGAAGTTTGTATACTAGATGCGTTTGCGAAATCGCATCAGATATGTGATTCGTGTCCATATCCCCCATTAGACAACTTTGTCGAAGGTCATTGGCCTAGCAACAGAATAGAACATAGAACGGATGTGACTCTCTTACGGGAAACCACAATGATACAAAACCACGAATTATAAACCCATACAGTGGTCTGAAGCGCCCATAGAAAGGACAATATATTTTTGCTTAGAGAAAATGTTTTTAAGATTAGAAATCATAAAGCGAACGAACAACATAACGAAGAGATACGGTGCATCACTCGCATCCATTGAAGCTGCGCCATTGGATCGTGTTTTTCCTTTATTGTTGCGTACCGCATGCCGTAGTTATTATTTTGAACAAAACTGAATTTTAAGTAGATTTAATAGATGTGGCAGCTTCAGGATGTTAGCCATACGCCCCATCTAAAATGTTGTGTTCGGTTCAAACTTAAATATTTGTTTTAACTTGTACTTTCAATACTGCAGGTTTAACCTGCTTAGGGTTGCAGGATTTTAGGAATCTTATTCTCTCTCAGCCGTTTTCCACTTTAAAATATTTTTTTCAATATTTAATTGCACTTAATGGATGAGTGGAACAGTGCAAATCGTTTTCTTTCGTTAGCAACACAAATCGTTTTGTTCCTGTAGCCACATACATCTTTCTGCACCGTCAGCAACATATTTTTTTGTTCTTTTAGCAACGCAAATATTTTTGTTCTGTTAGCGATACAAATCTTTTCCGTCAGAAATGGAAACTTTTTTGTTTCATTAGAAATGTTTTTGATTAGAAACACAAGTATTTTGGTTCCGATAGCAACACGAATCTGATTGTTCCAACAGCAACACATATCTATATATTCCGTTAGCAACTCAAATCTTTCTACTTCTTTAGCAACACTTTAGCAAGACAAATATTTTCGTTCCCTTAGCGACACATATCTTTATATTTCGTTAGCAACACAAATCTTTTTACTTCAGCAACATAACTCTTTGTACTTATTCAGCAGCACAATTTTTTTTACTTCTTTAGCAACACTTTAGCGAGACAAATCTTTTCGTTCCCTTAGCAACACATATCTATATATTCCGTTCACAACACAAATATTTTTACTTCTACAGCAACACAAAATAGTTTCGTTTGTTTTGCAGGGTTCCCGAGAGAAGATGAACCACCTTTTGTTTGTGGTAAATTGAGCAAGGCTTTGATATGGGTGTCTATTATCTTGGTTTTATTTGGGTATCTATCGACTAATAATCCCCAGGCTCTGTTAACATCTCCTGTTAATCTCCTGACACATCCAAGGCACTGACAAGCATATACGGATCCTCCTTTAAATGTGAAAGCAGATGCATATATTTTTCAATATTGCTCAGTGAATCATTTTTCACTACTGCCGTTATGAAGATATCATGAAATCGCATTAACTGATCGTACATGCTTGAGAATGTTGGCAATTTCACATGTGGTAAGCTTCCCAAAGCACTTGGCCTAATGAAATTTATTTTTTCTGATAATTTGTCTAATTCAGAAAGACATTGGCTTTTAAAATGCATGTATCTGCTTTCTAGATTGTCAAACGAGGGGGTTAAATCATCTAAAACCTTTGTTTGGTTCGCAGGGTCTCCGTCGGCCGGCGGAGAGAGCCAGGGCGCGCACAGCCACTCCAACTCTGGCTCGGGCTACGACAGCGGCGGCGGCGGCGCGGGGGCGGGGGCGGGGGCGGGCGCCTGCTGTGCGAGTGCCCGCGTTGCGAGCCACGGTGTCGCAGCCTGCCGGGCGGGGGGCGTGGGGGCGCTGCCTCCCAATTACCTGGCGCAGCACCGCATCGTGCTGGCCTCCCTCAACAAGGCGACCACGCGCCTTCTCTGCGACGTCTGCCCCGGGGAGCGGCCGGTGAGCGCCGCCACATTCTTATTAACGCCATTAAGCAACAATTAACCAACCAAGAGGGTTATGCTTAGAGCCAGAATGCGTATGTCCTCAAACTGTCATGCAATCATTTATGACATAAAAAGTGGGAAACTATGACTTTAAATAATTGGTTTTGACATAAGCGAGATATCCGGTCAGTCGGTCAGTGTGGTACCTGAAAACAGCGACTTGGTAGTTTTGATGAAGGCAGTATCCCCTTCATTGAATGCATTAACCTCTGCGGTAGTTTTTAATTGGTACAGTACTATTGCGGCGTTAAGCCACGTGTCCCAATGTGTAAGAAGGGGTTAGAGAGGCAATGACACTGAGGGAACCATTTCCTTAACCAATGCCAGTGCGCCTTCTCTTTGATGTTATGAATTTCAATCAGGTAAATTTAGACCCGACAGTTAGCATTGAAGAATCCATTTTACCGTTCTATGGCAGTCATGGAGACAGTTTATTAGAGGGAAGCCGATAATATTCGTCTTCAATTCTGGGAAGCAGCTGATCTATCAGGTTGTGTCCATCATGTTGAATCATACTGTGGCGCCTCTACTTGCTTACGTACTAGAGGCAAAGACCAGACATGGTATGAAATTTAGTAGAAAATTTAGGTCTAAAAAAGGTTTTAGGCTCGACTTTGACATTTTTTTTACATCTGTAGCACTTTTGCAAAAACTTGCATCACGTGTATTAGGGGGATATAAGAACTCTGTGAGAGATTCGTTGTCAGAGTAACAAAGAATTGGACTACAATAAAATTGAGAGATCAATCATCATAAAATATGGCAACATTCTCCAAGCACGCGCGAACAACTATAACGTTGCCACTGTTCTCAAAAAACGGCAGTAGAGTTCATCCCATGATTGCTGCCAGCCGGTGCTCACGAGCGGGAAAGAAAAAACTAGTGATGATTACACAGCGCTTACTTTCTCACCCTTAGTAATGGTTACGTAATAGTACCAGTATTTTACTGCAAACTCATTACAAATCGTAGAACATTAGGTGCAAAAACTAAATATTTTCAAGCGAATATCAATAGACAAATAAAACTGCTTTTCATACTGCTAAATCATCTCCTAACCTGTCGGAATTCACAGAAGAATTAAATAAAACCAGTCATCTTATTATCGTTCAACAATAAACTTCTATCTATTCTAATATCTCTATCAAGGCAGCATTCGGTAGTAATATAAAATTAATGTTAAGTAAAATCGTTCAAATTTATGGTACTAAATTTTTTTCGATTTTTCTTTAATGTTACATAAAATCTTATTTTCAAGAGAGAAAACCTAAATGGGCTAATTTAAATTAAGGTTTGCGGATTGCTTGAAAGAAAAAAATCAATACATTAAGAATACATTCCTCGCAACACGGATAAAAAATTATGAATGGATTATCAAACAGGTTTCAAATAATTTCTAGATGTTTTCCATTTGTAAACAAAAGCTTAAATGTCAGAATCGAACAAAGAAATATAAAATAATACACAATTCCTAACTTACGTAGCATCCAAGAACTTCTCAAATTACGTTCACGATGCGCAGGAAATTCGAAGCGGGCGACTATGAAGCCAACTTGCAGAGAAAGCACTCATATTTTCAAAACGTTGAATGTGACCTTATCTAAAGATGTTTTTGATGAGCACATTTCATTAAAATACAATTTTATCTTCACAAATGTAGTTGTAGGAAAACGTCGAAATTTTAACTTTTTCAATTTTCGAAAAATCAGGGATTTCAACGATCATGAGATCTCCACCATTAAATTGAAAAAAAAATAGTTTAAAAAAAACATTGTTGATATTTGACCATATATTTCGCAATAAGTTCTCGTACTTTCGAAAAATTGTATATGACCTTTTTTCAAAATCTATCTTTAAGGAACAAATTTCATTAAGGGGAAATTCTCTATCTTTAATATTTTTGTTGTAGGATGACGCCGAACAAATTTTGAACTTTTGAAATTTTCGAAAAATCAGTTTTCAACGAATTTGATCAAAAAATTTGTTGCCATTTTTTAAAATTTGAAAATATCCCAGGGGCTTCATGTAAAGTACCCCCAAAATTAAAATATCAATTTCAAATTCAAGGGGCCGCTCATCAGACCGATGGATTGAGGAATATCAATTTTAGAGACAATCGTCTGAATGGTTTTTCAGGTCCAGGTCAGGAATTCAGGAACCAGATCCTGAATTCCTATTTATTTTAA